GTTAAGATGCTTGGCTGTCTTTTGAATCTTGGTTTCCCTTGCCTACCATTGCAAAATAGACACTTGAGATGGGCAGAACAGAATAGCCAGAAACATCACAATAGAAAGCTTATAAGTCCCTTCAGCCTATAACTGATTGTTGTTGTTGTTGTTGTTAAGTGCCGTCCAGTTGATTCCAACCAATAGCGACCCTGTATAGGGTTTCCAAGGAGCAGCTGGTGAGCTTGAACCACTGACCTTGCAATTCAAACGACTTTGCAGTCTTACACATTAACCCACAGCGCCACACCAGGATTGGAATTCCTTAAAGGGGGCTAGAAGTTGCCCAGTGAAAGAGGCTTCCTGTGGAGCCTTTACATTGCATAAGACCATAGGTAGAATCCTGAACCCCATCCAGAATGGACTGAGGTGGGAAATTTCCACTTGAAAGGACAAGTAGACCAGCCTGGAGTGGCTAGAACAGAAGATACTTGGTGAAAGAAAGACTGGCAGGGCAAATAAAAAACAATAATGGCAGTCTGATTGACTACTACAAGAACCAGCAAGCTGTTTGCCCGGGAGCCATTAAGGCAAGTGGTCAGGTCCCCTCAGAGCAAACCCCCTTCCAAGACTGAGACTTGGGGGGAATACATAAGCAGGCATGTGGTCTGGCTGGTTGTGTATTCCATGTTGCTCACCAATAAGGGGAAGAGGGGAAAAAACAGCAATGAAGTTGGGAGCTGGGTCCGACCACATTCAATAGACTCCTGTGAGCCTGGGTGGAGACCTGGTTGGCCAGCAATTTGGCAAGACCTGGAGACTTCTGGGCCCAGAGGCAGTGACATGGCCACCAAGGACTAGAGCAGAGAGTGAAGCGTCCAGCTGATGTGAAGTGAGGGGAGATGCACAGAAACACCCATACTTGCAGATAGTACCCACTTGACTTGGCTTCAATGGCTGGATGATCAGAACTCGACTAGAAAAAAAAAAAAGAAGAGGTAAAAAAAAGAGTAACCTGCTACAATTTGATGACCTTTACCTATACTTATGGATGTAGTAGCTCAAAAAATGGAACAGATCTTTACAGCGAGGATCACTCCCATCCCCTTGGTACATAGAGTTGACAGCGATGGGCAACTTGAACATTGGCTGCCCCAAAATGGGGGAGCTACAAAGGCAAGAAGTGACTGGCTTACAAGCTTTCAAGAAGGAGCCTAGTTCCAGATGGGGCAGGGGAAGGTAGACTCTCCACTGAATGGTTTCCAATCTGTTGTTGTGAAGTGCTCTTGAGTCGGTTCTGATCCATAGCGATCCTGTATAAGGTTTTCGAGGAGCAGCTGGTGAGCTTGAACCGCTGACCTTGCAGTTCAAATGGCTTTGCAGTCTGGCGCATTAACCCACAATGCCACACCAGGACTCCCCTAATCTGTTGGGACGGAGATAATGAAAGGAGATTGGGATAAGACTCTTGTGGTACAATAGTGAATAATTGCTATCAGGACTGATTGTGACGGTTGGAAATGTAAAGGTAGATATTTTGTAACAAAAGGAGGGGAGTGATTGATTTTGCAGTCCAGGAGCGAAGGTCCCTGGGACCAACAAGTGAGAAGAGTGGAGTGCGTGATCCTACCCAAGGAAGCAGTGACACCAGAAACGGAGGCAGAGATGACGAGACGACATGGACAGATGGAGTGGCTGGGGACACTGGACTCAGGGAGGGAGAGGGGCTGTGTGCTGATGGCTGGGGGGCAGGCCTGTGGGGTGTAACCCTTTGGTTGTTTGATGGTACATGGAGGGATTGTAATCATTGCAATGAAACAAAATATGATAGGATGAATGTAAAACTGATGTTCCCCCACATAATTCATAAGAAAAACTTAAAAAAACTAAAAAAACAGGGCCAGGAGAAACATAGAATATGAAAAGAAGACTAAGGAAGTATGTGTATTTACTTCAGTTGGACCATGAGCAAAATGGTAAGCAAAAAAAAAAAAAAGCCGTTACTGTTTGACATATTTATAAAGTATTGGTAAATGTTAATGTGAACATGTTTTTCCAGTTCTCAGCTGGTCATAAAATGACAATGATTTCACCTTTTAATTTGGAAGATATTATGATAGCACTTTAGAGAACACAAAGGAAAATAAAAGAACATACCGAAAAAGAACATAAAATCTAATGGTGCTGATAGTCCTAATCAGTGGCACATGAATGTGACAAGGTGTTCTTGAACCTCTTGAAATAATATACAAAATTGGGATGTGGTACATTTTTCTGAGGAGAGTTATCATCATCAAATTGGAGAGCTCAGCATAAAAAGAGACACAGGTAAGAAAGTGCAGAGTGCTTCTTTGGGAAGAGTTGTTAGTTCAGAGTGGAAAGATATATAGGAAACAGGTAAGCAATAATGAACAAATCTTGTGACCCTTTGAGTACAACAGAATGAAATACAGCCTGATCCTGCACCATCCTCACAATTGTTACTATGTTTGAGCCCATGATTGTAGCCACAGTGTCAATCCGTTTAATTGAGGATCTTCCTCTTTTTTTTGCTGATCCTCTACTAATCTAGGCATGATGTCCTTCTTTTCAAAGGCTAGTCTCTTGATAATATGTTGAAAGTACATGAGACAGTCTCCCCATCCTCATTTATAAAGAGCATTCTGGCTGCACTTCTGTACAACCAGTAACAGCTACAGTTTGGCTCATGCTTGGTAGGTGCTTTGAAGCTTGATATGTCAATTATATATATATTCCACATTTTAAAAAACTCAATCATCTCCAAATGCTCTTCACTCCCAATGACTTTACTAAATTTTTCCTCTTTTGTAAATAAGATAAGCCTCCATGAGGCCACAAGTAATGTTTATTTCCAGCTTTTGAAAATTCTACAGATCAAAGCACAGAGCTGAGTGTGGGTCACATGGGAAGCTTTGACTGGGGCCCTGATGTTTCAGGAAAGTTCTTGGTGAATCCAATTTCTTCCAACACTTTTTACTTCTCCCATCCTACCTCCTCCCTAGCTGGATCTCTCCCAATATTTGTAAATACAGGAGCAATTTCTGCATGTATGGATCCATTCACTCATTTTAGTTCATTCCATAGGTATTTTGTTGGGGTCTTACTATGTGCGAAATGTGAGGAAACAAAAAGTGAACTGACCGTGTAACCTGCCTGTTTGGGACTTGCCGTCCAAATAGAATTAAACTAAGTATGTATTTTACATAGATGGGCAAACTAGGCCTAGTTTTTAAAAAATCCCGTTTCCTCATATGCAATACTGGAGTAATATGAGCAATAGGAATCCTGATGTGACACTGTGGGCTATGCGCTGGACTGCAAAATCGGAGAGTCTGTTGCAGACTCATATCGACCTTGTATAGGGTTTCCGAGGAGCAGCTGTTGGGTTTGAATTGCCCATCTTGTTCGCAGTTCAGTATTGATCCTACAGCGTTACACTAGGAGTTCAGTACTCACTATTGTGACTCACAGAGACCCTGTATAGGGTTTCCCAGGAGTGACTGGTGAGTTTGAACCGCTGATCTTGCAGTTCAACCCCACCTTATGGTGATTATCCTATAGTGCCACATTGCTGTTGTTGTTAAGTGGCGTCCAGTCGGTTCTGACCCATAGCGACCCTTTACAGGGTTTCCAAGGAGCGGCTGGTGAGCTTGAACCATCAACCTTGCAGTTCAAACCGATTTTGCTGTCCAGCATAAGTAACCTTTGTCAGAGGCCCCAAGCTAAGTTACACTGGTTCATCTTTTGGCCTGTATAAGCTTTGCCTCTAGCATTCTGACACCTTAGTTTCAACTGGAAAGAGCTAATTGAAACTTTTGTTAAGTGCCCTAGAATTTGTTCTGATTCCTAGGGACTCATAGCAACCCTGTCACAGACATGAGCTGCGCCTTAAAATTTGAATTGGACCACAAGGTTGGTTTGTACTGCAAGATCGACGGTTCAAACTCACCAGCCGCTCCTCGGAAACTCTACCAAGGGTCGCTATGAGTAGGAACTGATCCACGACACTTATAAACAACATTTTAAAAAAGCCCCTAAAACACACAGAATAAAAAAAAGCAACACCACCTAAATAAGCTGCTATTAAAAGTTTTTAAACTAGCAAAGCTTAGGATGCATCGCCAGCTTGCAGAAGCGCCAAAGTGAGCACGCGCGTGCGGTCTGCGCTGGGGAGACCCGACCTTTGGGGGCGTGCCTTGTGAATAACTGCTTCCGCTTCCGGCTCTTTACGAATTCTCCCGCCGCCGGGGATAAGTGTCACCGTTTGTGTATTTCTCCAACTTGGTGCTATTGCAGGTAAGTGAAACTCCTGCGGATTTTAGGGCGGAGAGCATTACTGGGCTGAGTCTTGCTGCTGCTGCGGTGATATGCTGATAGTTTGGAACTGCTGACTGTGAGGTTAGCAGCCCCTTTTGAAACTACTAAAGGGAGAGCACTTTGCGCGCAGTGGGAGCAGGTCTGACTGATGGGGAATGAGATGTTGTTAGTTTAAGGGCAGAGACTTGGGTACCGATGAGGCAGGGTTGAAGCGAGATGAGTTCGCTGGAGTGGTGGGCCATCGGAGTGGAAAAATCCCTAAAAGTGTTTTTACTGGGCCTGATTGGGTCCATCAAGTCACTTTTCTAGTTAAAATTTACGGTGTCTTCCTCCGAGTTCAGCGTTGAGGCCCATATAAAACCTTGTCTCTTGGGACTACGGGATCTCAGGTGGTGGTAACATAACACCTTTCATGAGCAGCACTGCCACATGACATTCATATTGCTGGAAGTTAGGATCACCACCCTTCACCCATGACAAAATCATCATAGTTGTGTTTTAGAGAAATCTGTAAAATACAGGAAAACACCACCCAGAGATTCCCACCGGTTAACATTTTGTTCATTCCTTTCAACTTCAGATTATTTTTTCTGTGCAATGTGGGTTTATTTTTGTTGGTTGCTTTCTCTTCAATACCATTTGTCATCATTTTAACTTTTTTTGTGCCTCTTTACAAGGTAACCAAGATGCAGTTTTCTGGAAAGCGGAAGAATCTGGGCTTGACAGGTGACCAGAGAAGTGCTTCCTATCCTCATAGCCTTCAGTTTTACCTTCAGCCGCCATCTGAAAACATATCTTTGATAGAGTTTGAAACCTTGGCTATTGATAGACTTAAACGTAAGTAATATTTAAGGTGGAGTCCTGTTGGCGGCGCTGTGGGTTAATGCGCCAGACTGCAAAGCTGTTTGAACTGCAAGGTGGGCGCTTCAAGCTCACCAGCTGTTCCTCTGAAACCCTATACAAGGTTACTATGGGTTGTTACTGACTCCACCACACTTACCAACAACAATGACAACAATATTTAAGGTAGAATTAATATTTTCTTGAGAAGCTCACTTATGTTTTGTGGGAATGAATGAAGATCCCCCCTCCCCACACACTTCTTTCAGCCAATTCAAATAGCAAATGGGCTTGCTATTTGCTCATTTACTGTAAAAATGCATATTTTTTGAGCTTTGTTGTTATTGTTATGTGCCATGGAGTCGGTTCTGACTCATAGCGACCCTGTACAGGGTTTCCGAGGCTGTAAATCTTTACGGGAACAGAAAGCCTCATCTTTCTCCCACGGAACCGCTGGTAGTTTCGAACTACTGACCTTGTGGTTAGCAGCCCGATTCGTAACCACTACGGTACAAGATTAGATGGCAGGAATTTTGAGATGAATAATATAATTCCCATCTTTATTGATGCTATACTCTTGTACATGGTGACAGACGTCCAAAGTAATGTAATTTTAGAATTTTAATTGCTCTAGTAGAAATAATAGTGGTAGTGAAGGACATAATTGGGAATTACGAACTTAGTCTGACTAAGTATGCTTGTGTTGTTGTTAAGTCCTGTTGAGTTGGTTCCGACTCATAGCAACCCTGTATAGGGTTCTGAAGACCATTTGCTGGATTTGAAGTACCAACCACATGGTGAGCAGTTCAGTGCTGATTTCACAGTGTCACACCAAGAATTTAGTATGCTTGTTGTTGTTAAGTGCCATTGATTCAGTTCTGACTCATAGCGACCCTGCATAGAGTTTCTGGAAAGTGACTGGTGGGTTTGAACCACTGACCTTGTGGAATCCAGTGCGTTATCCTGCTGCACCACACCAGGACTCTGGTATGCTTGTTATAGAAGTTGAAATGTGATCTGCATATTGAAGGATGTTTTTTCCAGGTGAACAAACACAGGTTTAGAAGCACTAAAGAGACTAGTAATTAAGGGAACAATGACAAAGTCAGGGTGGCTGGAGAAGTGTGAATAATGACATGTGCCATCCTCATGTGTAATACTGGTGTGTAAGCAGCTCTCCTGGGTGCCTATTTATCCTTTGTTGATGGGTGAAATGAATGGCTGGGCATGAACTGAGGCAGAAATAGCATTATCTTGAGACTTACATTCCAGTATATTCTTTTGGGAAAATCAGAAGGACAGGTGAGATACTGTTAATCATTTTTAGAGGACCAGGATGAGAACTACTAATACAGAGAGAAGGACAATACATGTTTGTTGAATCAAAGAGTGAAGGCATGGGATAGAAGGGTTTTAGTGAGGATGCTTACCAGTGTCAGATGTGTTGTGTGGATTAGACTGAAGGCTAATCCATGACTGAAAGCTTTTCCTTGGGTTTGGCACTTAAGAGGTAAAATGGTCAGAACGTGAATTAAGGTGTTGACAGTGACAGTGGTAGGAAGGGAGAGATTTAGGGGTACTTTATGAGCTGTCTAGGAGCCCACTCATCTGTCCATGGTGACTTGTGTATTGCTGTGATGCTGGAAGCTATGCCACTTGTATTTTAAATACCAGCAGGATACACCCATGGTGGAAAGGTTTCAGCTGAGCTTACAGGTAAGACAGACTAACAAAAAAGGAGAGATAGACTACATCTGAATGTTTAGCAACTGAAAATCTTATGAGTAGCAGGGAAACACTGTCTGGTGAATACTGAAACATGTTGAAAAGCTTGAGTATTGTCAGACATAGTGCCACACAGGTTAGAAGGCACTCAAAATGTGACTGGGGAAGAGCTGCCTCCTCTAAGTAGAGTTGTCCGTGATGACATGAATGGAGTAAAGCTTTCGGCACATTGATTTCGTGATGGGATATAATTCAAAATGAGGAGAAACAGCTGTAAACATCCATTAATAATTGGAAAATGGAATGTATGAAGTATGAATCTAAGAATATTGAAAGTTGTGAATGAAATGGAATGCGTAAAGTTCTGTATCCTAGGCATTAGTGAGCTGAAGTGGGCTGTTATTGGCTATTTTGAATCAGACAGTCAATGTTTTACTATGCTGGGATGACAAATTGAAGAGGAATGGTGTCACATTTGTTCAGAAGAACATGTCAAGATTTATCTTAAAGTATAATGCTGTCTGTGATAGGATAATATCCATATACCTATAAAGAAAACCAGTTGATAGCACTATTATTCAAATTTATACACCAACTACTAAATGAAACAGGAGAATTTTTCCAATTTCTTTAGTCTGATATTGATTAAAAAATGCAGTCAAAATGTATTGATAATTACTGCTGATTAGAATGTAGAGATTGGAAACAAAGAGGGGGGATCAGTAGTTGGAAAATATGACCCTGGCGATAAACATGATGCTGGAGATAGCATGATAGAATTTTGCAATACCAGAGACTTGTTCATTGCAAATATCTTTAAAAAAACAACATAAAAGACAACCTTGTACATGAACCACACCAGATGAAATGCACAGAAATCAAATTGGCTATATTTGTGGCAAGGGATACCAGAAAAGGTCCTGTAGGATAAGCACTGGACAGTTAACCACAAGGATGGTAGTTCAAACCCATTAGCTTCTCTGAGAGGAAGATGAGCTTTTTGCTCCTGTAAAGATTTACAGCCTCAGAAACCCTATACTGGGTTGCTGTGATTCGTAATTGACTCTGTGGCAGTGGATAGGTTATAAGACATCAGGAGCTATGGGGTCACGGTGGGTTGACATTGGTCTGCTAACTGAAAGGACAGTGGTTTGAAAACACCAGTTGCTCCATAGGGGAAAGATGAGGCAACCTGCTCCCATAAAGATTTATATATTTCTGAAACCCTAGGGAGCAGTTCTCTTACTATTGGGTTGTTATAAGTTGGAATGGACTTGACTGCAGTGGGTTTATTGTTCTTTGTGAGTTATGTTCGATAGGGTTTGGTGAGTATTGGATATGAAGAGTGAGGGGGCCGGGGTAGCTAAAGATCCTGCTTCGTTGATCTGGTGGATTGTTGTTGTTGTCAGGTGCCATCGAGTCGGAACCGACTCATAGCGACCCCTTGCGCAGCAGAACGAAACAATGTCCGATCCTGGGCCAACCTCACTACTGCTGCCACACTTGAGTCCATCAATGATGCCACCTGGCCAATCCATCTCATTGGGGGTCTTCCTCTTTTTCTCTGACCCTCCACCTTACCCAGCATGACATCCTTCTTCAGCGACTGTTCCCTCCGGACAATATGTCTAAAGTATAAGAGATGAAGCTTAGCCATCTTGGCCTCCAAGGAGCACTCTGGCTGCACTTATTCCAAAACAGAGCTATTGGTTCTTTTGGCAGTCCATGGCACTTTCAGTATTCTCCTCTAACACCACAACTCAAAGGCATCAATTCTTCTACGATCTTCCTTATTCATCTGGTGGATAGAGACTCAGAAGGAGTAGAATTGAGGGGATGATAATTAATTTGATTTGGGACAACATAATTTGGTGTTGCCTGTGGAACCATCATGAGTTCATGTTTAGGAGGTTTTCATTCTTGAGTTAAAAAATGCTTCTCCTACTGATGGAAGCAATATTCATTTGGGGAAGAATGAAGGGCTTTGGGAACTTTTGGGAAGTTGTTGTTAAGTACCATGGAGTTGGTTTCGACTCATAGTAACCCTGTACAGGGTTTCCGAGGCTGTAAATCTTTATGGGAGCAGAAAGCCTCATCTTTCTCCCGCGGAACGGCTGTTACGATGAGGTTAGCAGCCCGATTCATAACCACTATGCTACCAGAGCTCCTTTTTGGGGAGTATATGATATTGATTCAAGACCTCATTTGGATGGTTGACTGACCCTGGTCTTTACTGATGTATCTTCTTCTTTGCTAAAGATCAGAAAATATTTTTTTTTTTTTGTCTTTGCTGAAAAGATGCTCTGACCTTGTGAAGATTTAGTCTCAGAAACTCGAAAGAGCAGTTCTACTCTGTCCTATAGGCTCGCGGAGTCGGAATCGATTCGATGGCAGTGGATTTCTTTTGTCTTTTTTTTTTTTCTTTCTTTTTTTGAATAAATGAAGCCGACTTCTTTAGTAGCTCCAAATGAGGCATGCATTGTAAATTGTTGTTGTTGTTGTAGTTGTTGCCGTCGAGGTGATCCCAACACATAGCAACCCTGTGTAGGGTTTCCAAAGCAGCTGATGAGCTTGAGCCACCAACCTTGCAGTTCAAATGGCTTTGCAGTCTGGCGCATTAACCCACAGCGCCACACCAGGACTCCGCAATGTAATTACTGGAGATTTAATTTTTTTATGCCCTGATACTCTGGAAAAGTATATTTCTTTCCTTATCAACATTGGTTCAATATCGCAGCGATTATCTTCTTCGTTGAGAATTAGTTAATGTCAGATGTTATGGGACATGGATAGTTTCTTCAAGTAAATTGAGATTGTCCTTTTACCAACATGTAATTTATATGATATATTTGCAGAAAATAGAACTTCCAGTAGCCTTTATAAACATGGAATTGTGGAACTACTAAGGGATCCTAGATTTTATTTTGTTTTAGGTTTATTTTTAAAAAATAATCTTGCACTACTTTGTTGTTGTTGTTGTTAAGTGCCATCGAGTCGGTTCCGACCCATAGCGACCCTGTACAGGGTTTCCGAGGCTGTAAATCTTTACGGGAGCAGAACGCCTCATCTTTCTCCTGCGGAGCAGCTGGTAGTTTGGAACTGCTGAACTTAAGGTTCGCAGCCCAATTTGTAACCACTACGCTACCAGAGCTCCTTGTGGAAGATGTTGTATAGGGTTGTTAGGGAACGTCTTTGTTATACTATTATTACACATATTATTTCTCTGTCCTTTTTAGTGCTAAAATCAGTTGAAAATCTTGGTGTAAGCCATGTGAAAGGAAGTGAAGAATACCAGAATAAGTTAGAGAATGAACTACGAAAGCTCAAGTTTTCTTTCAGAGTAAGTAAAAGAAGGGAAAAAAAACCTTTCCGTTTGTATATACTTGAGAATTGAGTATCTGTTGTGGGAAAGGTGTTGTATTAGGCACAGGGGTTTTAAAAAGACTAACATAGACTGCCTGAGGAAACCTTCAGGTGATAACAATATGGTAGTATTTCTCATCCTTTGCCTTATTGATATTTGAGCCTTATAATTCCTTATTGTGGGAGAAGTCCTCTCCATTTTTGGATGTATAGTAGTACCCTTGGCTCTACTTTTTAGAACGTATTAGTAGTATCCTCCTTGCAGTTGTGACAACCGAACGTTTCTTCAGCTATTGCTAAATGTCTCATAGGAGCAAAATTGTGCAGGGCTGAGCAGCAGTGCAACACAGAATGATAAATGCTGCTATTGGAAGTATGTTCCAGGCAGTCTAAGAGCACATATAAGGGTAAATCTAAAAGTATTGCTGTAAAAATTATAGAAACCTTTATTAAAAATACCAAAATGTGAAGCTATTGCTGCTCCATTTATCTTCCATCTAGGCCTGTAAACTTCTGAAGCTGGTATTTCTAGCTCTTTAACCCATTCCCAAAGAATTCTATGCTCTTTGATTTACACCATGTCAAATCGACAGCCTTGGCATCCTCAAGAAACTAAAATTGTGTTCCTTTAAATGTTCTTTGAGTTTGGGTAACAAAAGGAAATAATGGGAAAGTTCAGGGCTATAGGGTGACTAGGTGAGGTTTCCCAAGGAAATTCTTATAGGGTAGCCCTTGCTACTACTGAATGAGCAAGTGCATTGTCATGATGGAAAATTTTTGCATACCATTCCTGGCCTTTTCTCAGAAAAGCAATTATCAAATTTTTAAAAACTTTTTCATAATGAGCTCCATGATTGTCCTGGGTCCTTTGAGAAAGCTATCAAAATTTGTCTTTTGGAATCCTAAAAACATTTTTCTATAACCTTCTAAACTGACCTCTCTGCATAAATTTAACTGACTCAGAAAATGCCACCATTTTGATTGGACATTTTTGTCTGGATTGATTTGGTAAATCCAAGACTTTTTCCCAGTTACGATTTGTTCCATAAAATCATCTTCACTTTGTTCTTGCTTAAAATAAGACTGGTGCGAAAAAAGCCAGGGAAGTTGCCCTGAGGAATTTGAATAAGGATTAATTTGCATTGGCAAGGGTCCAATTGAGGTTAGAAGTCATGGATTTTACAACGTATTATTAGAATTTGTGTATTTTTAATCCAGAAGGACTCTGTTTTGGGGCTAGTACTTACTGCATACTCTGTAGTACTTTTGGATCAGAAATACACAAATTCTAAAAATATACGGTGTTTGAGCTGCAAGGTGGGTGGTTCAGGCTCACCAGCCGCCCCTTGGAAACCCTATACAGGGTTGTTGTGGGTCAGAACTGGCTTGACAGCACTTAACAACAACAACAACTGCAGAGTATAGCTGTAGATGTATTTAGAATTTAGATTTTACCAGGTGACTGAGATGGATGATGAGGGCTTATGTAAGAAGCCAGAGGAGGGCGTCTTAAAACCTTCATGGAATAAATTTGATTATCTCTTATTTCCATTTTCCCACAAACTTTTTGAAATTCTCTTGTAGTTGAATGTTGGGTACCCTGGGCATAGTCTGGATAAAAAAGTTATGAGAGGCTGATATATAGGATAGAAACGGGGTTCAAACCCAGGAGGGCTTGTTAAGATTAGTCCAGTTCTCAGTTTCACCTGACTACTATAGCCCAGAAAGCACATTATGAAATTTTGTTTTTGAAACTTTTACTTCATCATTAATTTATATGGACTCACCGTTTCTTTGTATGTCTTACCATTTTAATGCATTTATTTTACTCATTTGTTATTTTTTTTTTTTTAAGGAAAGCCTAACAGATGAATATGAACCACGAAGAAAAGATCATATTTCTCACTTTATTTTGCGCCTTGCTTATTGCCAGTCGTGAGTATACTGTTACGCTTTCATAGTCAAATCTACTTTCTTGGTCTATAAATTGGTGCATGGAGAGTTGACGTGTGAATTGGTGAATGTAGGAAAATTCAGAATAACATCAGGGACCAGTAGTACATGGGTTAATAATCTTTGATGTATTTCCAACCATTTTTACTACTCATCCTTCCCATTTACAGTTTTTAATTATAAATGACTATTTTTGCTTTTGCTTTCATGTGCTAGTACTGATGTCAGGATTGGGTTCTCTTTAACATTGTTTTCCCAAGTACCTATCCCAAAGAATACACTACTGTTTACTTTGTACAATAAGCCTTTTCCCCTTGATGGTTAGAAGACAAGAGGTTAAATGTACCATATTTTTAAGGTATCAACCCCCTTTATGGAAAGATCAATAAAGACTGAATTAAACTTTAAGATTTGAACACTATTGTAGTGAATTGTTTGAGACAAGTTTTATACTAAAAATACATAGAAAAAATTCCTATTGTAATAGTTTTTACCTGTTGAAACACTTTATGGGAAAGATTTTTTATTTAAGATTTAAAGTTGGAAGGGATTTTATTAGGAAAAAGTGACGTTTATAAGAAACAAACACATACTTGACTCTGATAAATTTTTAGAAGTTGAAATGTCTAGGCCCATTCGTTAAAAGACAGCTTCCTGTGGGTAGTTGGTTCTTTTAAGTCAATAGTGCCACCCAGAGGGAGAAGAAGTTAATTGCTTTTTTTCCTTTATGTATTTTCTTCCTTATTAATTTGACCAAGTAATATATCTTGTTTTATGCTGTTGAGTTGGTTTCGATTTATAGTGACTCTGTACAGGGTTTCTGTAAATCTTAGGGGAACAGAAAGCCTCTTGTTTCTCCAGTGGAACAGCTGGTGGGTTGTGAATTGCTGACCTTGTTGGTAGCAGACCAGTGCTTATTCATGAAAAAAACCCAACAATGTGTGTGTATATATGCTACCAGAGCTCTCTCTCTCTCTCTCTCTCTCTCTCTCTCTCTCT